TGTCAACACTGTCACTTCTCAACCTTGGGTTCCCTAGTACCAGCTTTCCTGTCCCCTTCTGCTTTGTAGTCCTTGTCCCTGGACTGTTGTGCTCCATTAGTCTCATTTTTTTTAATACTCTGAGGGGTTCTTCCACTCTGTCAGACCAGTAAGTCTGGTCTTCTTTTGTGTGTGTGTGTGTGTGAATTTGAATTTTATTGTACATTTTTCTCCTGCTCTGTCTGGGACCTTCTATTGTGATCCCTGTCAGAGCAGTCAGTGGTGGTAGCGAGGCACGATCTAGTTCTTCTGGGCTCAGGTTCATGTAGTCCTTTAGTCCTTTGTGCTAATATTTTCTTTGTGTCTTTGGTTTTCTTCATTCTCCTTTGCTCTGGATGAGATGGTACCAATCAATAGATGTATCTTAGACGGCCACCCACAAGCTTTTAAGACCCTAGATACTACTCACCAAAGTAGGATGTAGAACATTTTCTTTATGAACTATGTTACACCAATTGACCTAGACGTCTCCTGAGACCATCGTCTTGAGCTCTCAGCCCCAGCAGTTTGGTCCCTCAAGGTGTTTGGGTGTGTAAGGGAAGCTTCTATGACTTTGCCTTGGTCAAGTTGTGTTGACATCCCCTATACTGTGAGTTGTCTTTCCCTTTACCGAAGTTGACACTTGTCTATTATTTAGTTAGTGATTTCCCCTCTTCATCCCTCCCCTCCCTCGTAATCATCAAAGTTACTTTTTTACTGTGTAAAACGTTTTGTTCACACGTTGTCTGACATAGTGCTGAAAAATGAGCCCCTCATGTTGGAAGGCACTCAAAATACAAGTAGGGAAGAGCTGCCTCCTTATAGTAGATTTCATCTTAATGATGTGGATGGAGTCAAGCTTTCAGGACCTTCATTTGCTGACATGGCACAATTCAAAATGAGAAGAAACAGCTGGAAACACCCACTAATGATCAGAATGTGGAATGTATAAAGTATGGAAGTCATCATAAATGAAATGGAACTCAGAAAGATCGATATCCTACCCATTACTGAGTTGAAATGGGTTGATACTGGCCATTTTAAATCAGACCATCATATGGTTTACTATGCTGGGAATGATGAATTAAAGAGGAATGACCGCACATTCATTGTCAATAAGAACATTTCAAGGTCTATCCTGAAGTACAATGCTGTCAGTGATAAGATAATATCCATACACCTACGAGGAAGGCAAGTTAATATGACTATTATTCAAATTTACATACCAACGATAATGCCAAAGATGAAGAAATTGAAGATTTTTACCAACTTCTGCAGTCTGAAATTGATAAAACATGCAATCAAGATGCACTGATAATCACTGGCAATTGGAATGCGAAAGCTGGAAGGAAAGATGAAGGATCTGTAGTGGGAATATAAGGCCTTGGTGGTAGAAATGATGCTGGGGATCTCATTATAGAAATTTGCAAGACCAATGATCTAGTCATTGCAAATATGTGTTTTCAATAACATAAATGGTGACTATACAGGTGGACCTCACTGGATGAAAAACACAAGAATCAAATCAACTACATCTGTGGAAAGAGACAATGGAAAAGCTCAAAATCATCAGTCAGAACAAGGCCAAGGTCTGACTGGGGAACAGACCATCAGTTGCTCATATACAAGTTTATGTTGAAGCTGAAGAAAAGTAAAACCACTCCAAGAGAACCAAAATACAAACTTAAGTATATCCCACCTGATTTTGGAGATCAGCTCAAGAATAGATTTGATGCATTGAACGCTAATGACAGAAGACCAGACGAGTTGTGGAATGATGTCAAGGACATCATATATGAAGAAATCAAAAGATCATTGAAAAGATAGGAAAGAAAGAAAAGACCAAAAAGGGTGTCAGAAGAGACTCAAAAACTTGGTCTTGAATGTAGAGCAGCTAAAGCAAAAGGAAGAAATGAAGTAAAAGAAATGAACAGAAAATCTCAAAGGGCGACTTGAGAAGACCAAGTAAAGTGTAATAATGAAGTGTGCAAAGACCTAGCGTTAGAAAACCAAAGGGAAAGAACACGCTCAGCATTTCTCTAGCTGAAAGAACGGAAGAAAAAATTAAACCAGAGAGTTGCAATTTTGAAGACTCCCTTGGGGAAAATATTGAACGACGTTGCTGTTGTTAGATGCTATCAAGTTGGTTCTGACTCATAGCGACCCTATGTACAACAGAACGTGAAACACTGCCCAGTTCTGCGCCATCCTCACAATCATTGTTATGCTTGAGCCCATTGTTGCAGCTACTGTGTAAATCCATCTCCTTTAGGGTCCTCCTCTTTTTCGCTGATCCTCTACCAATCATAATGTCCTTCTCCAGGGACTGATCCCTCCTGACAACATGTCCACCATCCTTGCTTCTAAGGAGCATTCGGGTTGTACTTCTTCCAAGACAGATTTGTTCGTTCTTTTGGCAGTCCACGGCATATTCAGTATTCTTCCCCAACACCACAGCTGAAAGGCATCAATTCTTCTTTCATCTTTGTTATTCATCGTCCAGCTTTCACATGAATATCAGGCGATTGAAAACACCATGGCTTGGGTCAGGCCAACCTTAGTCTTCAAGGTGACATCTTTGTTTTTTAATACTTTATGGGGGTCTTTTGCAGCAGATTTACCCAATGCAATGCATCTTTTGATTTCTTGACTGTGGTTTCTGTGGACAGTCAATAAAACACTGATAAATATCTTTCTGGTATACTCTGTTTTCAGCCAAGATCCATCCGACATGAGCAATAATATATCCCTTGTTCCACGTCCTCTTCTGAATTCAGCTTGAATTTCCACCAGTTCCTTGTTGATGTAGTGCTGCAACCATTTTTTAATTATCTTTAGCGAGATTTTAGTAGCATGTGATATTAATTACATTGTTCAATTCTATTGTATCACCTTTCTTGGGAATGGGCACAAATATGGATCTCTTCCAGTTGGCTGGCCAGGTAGCTGTCTTCTAAATTTCTTGGAATGCACGAGTGAGCACCTGCAGCACTGCATCAGCTTCTAGCATAAGGCAATCTTTGGAGTTCCATCGTCTTCATATAGCATCTGCTTGCTTATCTCTGTATCTACATCTCAGAAGTGATTAGGTTTAGGACACACTCTCTACATTTGTAGAGCCTCATTAACATAACAAAGAAAGTCTTACTCCCAAATGGGATTCCATACACAAGTATGGGGTAAGGGCTCTAACAAATATTTTTGATTGACAAGGTTCAATCCATAATGGATCAACACAATCATAGCTGCAACAACGGGCTCAAACCCCAATGATCATGAAGATGGTATAGGACTATGCAATGTTTCATTCTATTCTACATAAGATTGCCATGACTCAGAGCTGACAATGACAACATTCATTAGAAGTAAGCCACTAGGTCCAGTACACACTCAAAGGGAGGAGATTACACAGGAGCAATTCTACTCTGTTATATGGGTCACCATGAGTTAGAATGGACTTGAGGGCAATGAGTTTCTTTCTTTTTTATTTTTAGAGGGGAATTATGATAGGCTGTGGAAGCACTGGAGTCCCTGCATGGTGCAAACATTTAAAAACCTCAGTTTCTCACCAGAATGTTGGAGGTTGGAGTACACCAAGAATCTCCTTGGAAGAAAGGCCTGGTGATCTATTTCCAAAACTCAGCAACTGAAAACTCTGTGAAACCCAGTTCTACTCTGACACACACAGGGTCAGCATGAGTCAGGGTCAATTGATGGAAACTGGTGGTGGTGGTGGAAACATCCAGAAAACACCCAAGTCAACAGTGATTAGAAGAAGGGTTGTGAGCAGTGGCATGTTCTCTCCCATATTCCATTCTAATGGCTATTTTTATTTCCCAGAGAACAACAGTAAGGAGGTCCAGACTTCAGTGGACATTTGGAGGAATGGGGGCAGAGCTCGGGCTTGGAAACAGTTGGTCAGTCTTACCATGTCATTCTCCTGCTGAGACACTACTACGGCTCCCTATGACTTTCAGGATAGAGCAGTTCTCAATTAGGGGTGAATTTGTCTCCAACTCTATGGGGCATTTGACAATGTCTGCAGACATTTTTGGTTGTCACCACTTGGTGTGTGTGTGAGTGTGTGTGTGTGTTTGTGTGTGTGTTACTAGCATTTACTAGGTAGAGGCCAGCGATGCTGCTCAACATCTTACAATTCACAGAACAGTACCCTACAACTAAAAATTGTCCAGTCCCAAATACCAATACTGCCGAGTTTGAGAAACCCTGGAATAGGCTTAAAATGCTTCAGCTGTCAAAGACCTGCATCAAATACCCCCCACTACCTCCCATCCCCTGTCTTTACCCATAAGGCACTCCTTGTGGGTTCCAGAGATCTCATCCTTTAAAACTTCATGGTCTCATAAATAAAATGCAGCTAATGGTATACCCTTCACAGGGCTGTGTGTGATAAATGAGAAACCATATATCTAGTTGATAGCACAGAACTTGTTGTTGTTTTGTTTTTAACTACCTTCTAGTCAGCCCCTGACATACGGTGACCCCATGCACAAAGAGGTGGGACTGCTGTGATCCATAGCAACACCTTCTAGGCTCACTCAACCACAATTACGCATGTTCCCACTTTCTTAAGTTTCAGTATTTTTCTAACTAATTAGCTTTATTTCTTTTAAAGAACAATATATGGAACCATGGAACCAAAAAGGACATTGCACAAATGGCTACCCAACTACTTCAGGAGGTGGTAGTGACCACTTGGAATGAGATTTTTGCTTCTCCAGGAAAGCATGAAAATCCTGAGCTTGGTATAGGTAAGAAACACTGAGTAGACTGCTTTAATTTCCTCCTTAAAGGGATTTGGGTCCTGGCATAGTCGCGGTCTATGAATGATGAAATCTTTTAGATCCAAGAGTTATAGATTTTCCACTTTGACATTCTATATGAGTAGGGCTCTGCTTTCAAAATATTCAAAGAAATAAACCAGCTGTCTTCCTCTTTCCAGCTGCCCTTAGTATGGTGGAAAGTACTTAGGAACATATCCACCATGCTTCCGTCGCTGAATCAGAAAGATCCCATAGACTCAGTTACATATGGTGCTAGGATAATCTAAACCTGGTGCAGATATTTCGTCCCTGGTTCAGACTCTCCTTTCTTCCATTGGGGTCTCTGGGGTTCCTTCATTCCAGTAAACCTGAGTGAGGATCATCCTCATCCACCCAAGTGGTTCTAACAATTTTAAACTTAAAAGGGAAGTGGGAGGGATGGCTCTAATTCCTCTCCTTTTCAGTAAACTTCTTAGCCCTGGTACCTGTTAATTATTTCAAAGAAACAACTTTTGGTTTGGTTGATTTTTTTTCCCTATCCTTCCTTAGTCTGCTTTCTTTTTATATTGATTTCTGCTCTTATCTTTATTATTTCATTCCTTCTACTTTCTTCGGGTTTAATTTGCTTTTTGTTTTCTAGCTTCTTGACTTGGTAATTTAGGTCACTGATTTTAAACCATTTCTTATTTTGTAACGTGAATTTAGAGATATAAATTTAGCTATAAATTAGAGCTACACATTTCCCTGTAAGCACTGTTTGGGTGGATTCTGCAAATTTTCTTATGTTGAGCTTTCATGATCATTCAGTTAAAATATTTAAAAATTTTATTTATAGTTTATGCTTATGTTTTGTTGTTGTTGTTAAGTGCCATTGAGTCAATTCTGACTCATAAGGAGCCCATGTGACAGAGTAGAACTGCCCCATAAGGTTTTCTTAGTCATAAACTTTACAGGAGCAGTTCGCCAGGTCTTTCTCTCACAGAACTGCTTGGGGGGTGGGGGAGAAGAGTTGAACTGCTAGCCTTTTGGTTTGTAGTCTTTACCTTTTGCACTACTAGGGCTGTTTATAATTTATTTAGAACTGTGTTATTTAATTTCCAAATATTTGGGCTTTTCTAGGTTTCTGGTTATCTTTTTTTTGTTAATGATTTCTTATTTAATTTCATTGTGGAGTGAGAGCATATTCTAAAATTTTGATGCTTTTGAATTTATTGAGGCTTGTTTTATGTTCTGTGTTGATGAACATTTCATGTGAAGTTAGTTTCTGTATTAGGATACAGGATCTGGTGGTATATCAAAGACAAATAACTATGGCTTAAACAGAGAGAGATTTATTTCTCTTTAACGGGTTGAACATAAGCAGTCAAGGGCTGATGTGGCAGTTCCATGGCAGCTCCAAGCTTTGCCATCCCCAATGTTCAACTCTGATCTGTATTCCAAAATGGCGGCTCTAGTTCCACATCCTCTTACCAGCCAGTGGGAAGGGCAAAAGAGGAGAAGTAGAAGGCATGCCCATTCCCTTTAGCACACACTACTTCTGATCACCCCTCTGTTGGCCTGCAAATAATTACATGGCTCCACCTAGCTGCAAAGGAAGCTGGGAAATGATTTGTGCTCAGCTTAAACTGGGAGGTGGTCTCTTCCCAAAGAAGAGGTGAATGGATATGGAAACAATGTATAGTCTCTGTCATAGCCTCTAAAAAATTCTCATTTCTCCAGAGACAAACTCTGTGTACCAAAAACTTTAATGAGGGCGATCTTTTGTCAGATCTTGTGTTTATATGGCTGAAAGAGTTTACTCAAGGGATTCTTCCAAAATGCAGAAGGTCTACTCCCAGTTGACTATTCCCTGGAAAACCCTTAAATGATTAGTTTAAAAATATTAATTTCTCCCCTCAGTGAGCACTCCAGTGTGCATTTTTACTTTATTTTCTGCCCTTTAAGTTTCATGTAGTAAAAGTTTAGCCTGCCCACTCTAGTGCCAGCTTTGGGAAGAATGACCATCTCCTCTCTTCTTGGGTTATGTGAGCAGTGTGTGCTACTTAAGCCATTTTTATCACTTCATACTCCGCAGCCAGAGATGTATGTTGGGGGTTGGGAGTGTCATCTGGTCTACCCTGACATTGGAGCATACAAGAGATGAAATCATCAATAGTGAGTCTTCCAAAGAAGAGTCCTTCAACAAGTGTTAGGCATGAGAAGCAAGCAAAGCAGGACTTAACTTTCTTTGTGTTTCCAGCCTATGAAACCAATAGATGCAATGAGACAAGTAAGAGAATAATTTTGGAAGCTGGAAATAACACAATGGATATTGACTGCACCCATGCTTTCAAAGAAACCACAAGAGGTACTGTGTTTAAGATGGATTCTCTTGACTTCCAAATTCAAGGCACCGTGTCTCATTTCTAGGTGACTGGGACAAGGGATGGGGGACTGTCTAAGTTATCTATTGTGGTGTTTTCAAGGTTTATCCATGTTGTGGCATGCATCAGGATTTCTTTTCTCTTTATGGTTGAGTCACTTGAGAATTGTTTTATCATCATTCAGTTTTCCTCTATCGTACAGGTTGACAAACTTTTTCTATAAAGAGCTGGATAGTAAAATATTTTCGGATTTTCAGGCTGTACAGTCTCTGTTGCAAGTACTCAACTCTGCCGTTGTAGTGTGAAAACAGTCATAGACAGTACGTAAATGAGTGAGCATGGCTGTGTTCCAGTAAAACCTCACTTACAAAGCCAGTTGACAGGCTGAATTTGGCCCTCAGGCCAACCCCTGCTTTATCCCATCACCTTATTTAAGCCTTTGTACAGCACCTGCTACTAAGCCACATTTTTCTAATTTATTTATTTGTTTATTGTCCATTTCTCCCACTACAATGTCAGCTCTCTGTTGGCAGGGACTGTATTTTGTTCACTGCTGTGTCTGCAATGCCTAGAACACTGCCTGGCACACAGCAGATGCTCAACAAATATTGGATGAATGAATATAAAATATTTCATAAAGACCTGATTGCTTTGAGAGAGTGGAATACATGCTGCATTTCCTCCAGAAAATTCCCAGCCACTGACTAATTTTCCCCTTCTTTTGTGAGCTAAAGAATGAGGGTGGAAAGGAAAGGGTCTAAAAATGAGTTGGTTTTAAAACTGAGTAAATAATCATAATAATGGCATGGTGGCACACGAATAATTACAGTTTCAGAAACACTACATCATGCTACAGAATGCATTTAACTTCTGTGAATAACATACTTGCATGAAAAAGGGGCGAGAAGAAAGAGAAGGGAAGAAGAGAGTGTGGGAAGGAAGGAAGGACAGATATAAAGAGAGAGCAGAGAGACAGTGAGAGAGACAAAGAGACAGGAAGTGAGGGTTATAGAGATGGAGGGATAGAGGGTCAGAGCTACAAAATGCTGAAGATGAGAGACAAGAAGTTGGGGTCATAGAGACAGGGATAGAGTTATAGGGAGTAAGAGAGACAAAGGGTAGAGGTTCAGTGATTCAAATGGAGAAAGGGTACGGGGAGAAGAAAGAGATAGTTTGAGAGAGAGAGAACAAATTAGATGGAATGGGCTATCCTGCATACCTTTCCAGGGAATTGGATCCCCAGAGTGAAACAAAGATGGAAGATAGGAATGTGTGGTTTCCTCATCCCATCTGAGTTCCACCTGCCACTCTGAGAGCGAGCTTCTTGCCTCATGACTCTGACTTTGATATTTAAGGATTCACAGATATTTTCACAGCACAATGATTTACATGTTTTGCATAGATACATCTTATAATGTAGAGTGCATCATAACATCTATTACATAGTACAAAACACTGCACCCAAAACCACATGCAGCGTATTGCAAGGGCAATTTAAGGGATTTCCAAGAGCAATTTTGACTGTACACTAGGTTAGCTTTATGTCTCTCACATAAGACACTAGTGTACCGCCTCCCCAAACTATGGAAACCATATAAAATTATTTCTCTTCTATGGTTGCAGGTCAGAGGGATTTTGCACTGATAGTCTATCGAACTCTTGGGGATATTGTCAATGGATCCTTTTTTAGTGGCAGAAAAGGACTGCAGGATGTGAAACTGAATTCTTTTGTCGTGAGTGGCACCAATGATTCGGAGAAAAAAATTTACCTGTCCAAACCTGTGTTCCTGACCTTGAAACATACTCAGGTGAGCAAATCCAAGGGCTGGTTCTATCCCAAAAAGCCAGTACCAGTTGCTATTAAGTCAACTCTGAGTCACGGTGATCCCATGTATATCAGAGCAGAACTGTGTTCCATAGGGTTGTCAGTGGCTGATTTTTAGGAAGTAGATCATCAGATCTTTCTTCCACAGTGCCTCTGGATGGACTTGATCCTACAATTTTTCAGTTAGCAGCTGAGCACATTAACTGTTTGCTTGCACCACCCAGGGACTCTATCCAGGGTGCCTAAAAGGGATGAGGATGTATTATCAGGGTTCTGGTAGAGAACTGAATCCAACTCTGATGGTTCAGAGTTAAGAGAACTGACAAGGAACTTTGAGGCACTCAGAGACTGCCACAGTGGGGAGTGATGATCACACATAATCCTAAAAAGGCAATGGAGGAACTAAGATTATTGAGCTCAGTGAGAGCTGGAGGGATGGAAGAGGGATTGTCCAACTGGAGATGGATTGTGGTTAGTTGCTGTCGAGTCAGCTCCTACTCATGGAGACCTTATGGGTAACAGAAGAAAACATCACGCAGTCCTGCACCATCTTCATGATCATTAGTATGTTTGAGTACATTGTTGTGTCCACTGTGTTAATCCATCTCACTGAGGGTTTCCCTCACCTTTGCCGGCCCTCTACTTTACCAAACATGATGTCCTTTTTTAGTGATTGATCTTCCCTGATGATGTGTCCAAAGTGAGTAAATCAAAGTCTAGGACAATATTTTGTGACGCACAGGGTTTTCACTGGCTAAGGGGAACCCTCAATGAAGTGGACTGACACAATACCCACAAAAATGGGCTCAAACTTTGTAAAGGTCATGAACATGGCACAAGACCAAACAATGTTTACATGGGGTTGTCGCAATGGCAAGTAACAACAATCTTCTGAAGTACATTGCCAGATCTTTATTCCTAGTCTGTCTTAGTCTGGAAGCTCCACTGAAACCTGTCTAGCTTGGGTGACCCTGTTGGTATTTTAAATACCAGTGGCATAGCTTCCAGCATCATAGCAACACACAAGCCACCGCTCTATGACAAACAGACAGATAGGGAAATGGAAATAGCCAGGAAGAGATACTTGACCTCTCTCTTCTCTTTCCCAGTGATCTCCTATCAGGGTCTCACGTTGGTAAAATCCACTGGAAGCCAACCAGCCAACAAGGAGCCTGGGTGAAGCAGTTCATAAGGGTCGATCCCCAGGGGCACTGAGATGAGCAGAGAAGGAGAGAATTAATGAAGAGTAAACCCCATAACACAGGTGGTGGTGTGAAAATCTTCCCCACAAGTACTCAAGATAGTGAGATTTTCCTAATTCAGGCTCCAACTCAGTTCGTCTGTGATTAACCTATAAAGTTCAACTAATAAAACCAGAAAGAGGATCACTTCTATGCTATTCTTTTTTCAGCCTGTTGGTGCGAGAACAAAACATTTGTGTGCATCCTGGGAAGGATCGAAGGAGGGGGGCAGGTGGTCGACGAAGGGTTGTTCTCATATGGGCAGCAACGATTCTCACACCACATGCCAGTGCTTCCATCTGCCAAGCTTTGCTGTTCTCATGGCTCTTACACCCAAGGTACCAGAATTCATCATTCTCTCCTTGAACCTGACTGTGTCTAGTGAGATATGCAGTCATCCTCATATCTTAGAAAAAGACTCTAAGATAAGGACTCAAGTACAAGGAGCTTTCTTGGAAGGTGATCCCAGGAAACACCAGTAGGGGGCTGAGCAAGTGAAACAGGAAAATGATAGAGACCAACACAGACAGCATTATCAAGCCAGTCACCACTGTAGGCAACTGGAGCTTAGCTCCCTCTGTAAAGCTCTGGGAGTCAGTGTAGACCACACACCTCAGAGTTATCTTACCTGAGGAGTGAGGAAGGTGGGGTATTGATACACTGCCTCTTTTCAATCATTTGTTGAGAACTACATCTAGGGAGCACTAATTATCTGCCGTTTTCATGGACATGGGCAGAATGAGCTCAAGCTAACAGAGAAAGCACCTCCAGTATTCGGAAGTCCAGTTGGCAAGCCCTGCAATGGTCAGGTTCAATGGGTTCTGGAATGGAAAGCGTCTACTTTTCTGCAAGAGAGAATCACAGCTAAACCTCCCTGGTCAGACCAAAAGGAAGGTAAACGGCTGTCACCAAGGACAAAGCATAGCCCCTGAATTTCCCAAGTCCCAATCAGGTTGAGGACAACTCAGGTTTCAAGAAATTTACTTAATTTCTTTCTCTATTTCTTTTTAGCTCCCGTTTACTGGGTATTTACTATATGACAACCATCGTGTTGAATGCTTTATATGAATGGCCCCATTTTATTCATTCAGCAAATATTTATGGAGTCTCTACTATCTGCCATGCATTGTTGTAGGCAATGGGAATACAGTAGGGAATAAGCCAGATTAAAAATACAAGCCTACATGGAGATTACATTTGAGTGCAGTTCAGTTCAACAGGACCACCACCCATATATGGCTATAGAGCATTTGAAATGTGGTGAGTGGCACTGAAGAACTGAATTCCTAATTTTATTTAATTTAAATTGATTTAAATTAAAAGACTGAAGCTGCATAAAATACTTATCCGTTAAACACAGCTTTATTGATTTTGTAAGACCACATTCCATTTTCACCATTGAAAATATAGCATCTGATTTGAGATGCCCTGTAAGCTTAAAATATATATAGTGTTTCAAAGACTTAATATGAAAAAAAGAATATCAAATATCTCATTAATAATTATTTTACATTGATTACACATTGAACTGATAATATTTTTTATTGTGGTATAAATATACACAACAAAACATTTGCCAATTCACTCAACTTCTACATGTAAATTTTAATGGCATTGACTACTTTCTTCATGTTGCGCAGCTATTATCACTGTCCTTTTCTAAATCATTCCATCACCATTAACTGAAACTCAATTCCCCCTAATAGAAAATTCCCTGTATTCCCCTCCTTCCTACCCCTGGTAGCCACTAATAATCTTTGATTTCTATTGTTATTGTCAGGTGCTGTCGAGTTAGTTCGGATTCATAGGTACAACATAATGAAACACTGCATATAAGGCAATTGAAAATACCATGGATTGAGTCAGGTGCACCTTATTCCTCAAAGTGATATCTTTGCTTTTTAACAGTTTATACAGGTCTTTTGCACTGATTTGCCCAATGCAATGCATTGTTTGATTTTTTTTTAATTATTGTAGTTTAAGTGAAGTTTACATTTCTAGTCTCTCATACAAAAATTTATACATACATTGTTATGTGACCCTAATTGTTCTCCTCATACTGTGACAGCACACTCCTCCTTTCCACCCTGATTCTCCATGTCCATTCAATCAGCTCCTAACCCTTTCTGCCATCCCATCTCACATCCGGACAGTAGCTGCCCGTTTAGTAGCTTGTATCTACTGGAGCTAAGAGGCACACTCCTCACAAGTATCACTCTATGTCCCACAGTCCAGTCCAATCCCTGTCTGAAGAGTTCGCATTGGAAATTGTTTTAGTTCTGGGCTGAGAATCCAGGGGTCATGCTCTCTGGGGTTCCTCCAGTCTCAGTCAGACCATTAAGTCTAGTCTTCTTACTAGAATTTGAGTTCTGCACCCCATCTTTCTCCTGCTCCATCCGGGACTCTCTGTTGTGTTCCCTGTCAGGGCGGTCATTGGTGGTAGCTGGGCACCATCTAGTTCTTCTGGTATCAGGCTGATGAAGTCT